ATATCGCAAAACACCATCTTCCACGTTTGAGGCAGACTGCTTAACACCTAAACAACCTGAATTGCCACCAATGGACCCGCAACGCCTGAACCCAACAGTGGCAAGAGATTGATGTAGCTTGATGTATCAACTACCGCCTCTCTGGTTCGTAATTATAAAAACTAAATGATTAATTTAAGAAGATTAAAAAAAATTAAGTTAGTTATTTGTAACAAATTGATGTTATTTTTTTAAAAATATTTTTACTAATCAATTGTTTTGGTTATAACTATATTATTAGAAGAATTACTTTAGAAAAAATGCATAAATATAAAAGACAAAATAGATTTGGGTTTTATATTTAGAATCAACATAAAAATTAAACAAAGTCTTATATTAAGGATTGGATGTAATATTAATCTTTGTACCCAAAAAAAAAAGGGGATCAAATTTAATCTTATGAAAAAATAGATTTTACATGTTGTAAAAGAAAAGATTAAATTATTTAATTCTACATTTTAGTAATATTAATTCTTATAATTTTATTTTATTAGTATTTTTAGTTTTTATGTAAGGATTAGTGAAAAGAATTGAAAATTGAAAAAAAGTATATATGGAAAATAGTTTTAAAACCAAAAAAGGGATTCTACAACAGTGGGCAATTCCCCACTTGGCCGGACCATTTTTCTTCGTCGACGTTACATTCGACAGTTGGTCGCGCTCACCGTCGGACGCCGTCCAACGTTGTCGGCCCTGCGTGTCTGTTGAGCTGTTCTCTGGCAAGTATCGGAGAGGTTTCAAACCCTAGGCTTTGTCTACTCTCAAAATCCGGTGAGGTTGAATTGTTAAATCTGGCTTTGAATCTAGATTTGAATTTGTCCCCGCGTAGTTGTCAACCATGTGTTGGACGCTCTCGCATCGTTTCTTGCTTTGTTTTAAATTTTTCATTTTAATTTGTCTATGCATGTGGTCTTTTAATCGTTTGAATTTTGAATAAAGATTGAGTTTTCAAAGTTTGATTAGTAGTTTTTGCTTCAATTGTGCGTAATCGGCTATTATACTCTTCATTCTGATTACTGGAAGCTTATATGCTTTGGATTGTTTTGTTGTGCTATGCCGGATTTCTTGTGTATTGGCATTCTGTTCATTATTATGCATGATCTGGTAAATGACTTGGCCCCGAGTTGTGTCTGGTACTTTATAAGCTTGACTTTAAATTGTCATTCTTCCGCGACTTGTAGGAGTTGCTTGAATTAATTGGCTTACTAAGGCATCTTCGTCAAAGCATTTGGAACAAAAGTTAGAAGGGTAATGCTGGATTTGTTGTTTTTTGGCACTCTGTTCGGCTATCCGTGCTGCTTCTTTGTACATTAAGTTTCAGTGAAATGCGCTTTCTGAATCCTTAAAAGCATCCAGGTCTAATTGAAACTGCCTCTCCTAGTTGTCCAGCCCTTGCTTTCATCAACGGCGCCTCCCTAACCAATTTCAACGGGATTGGATAGCCTTTTTGTATTGATGCCTGGGCTTACGTTATTTTCTTTTTTGGCCAGTGGGCTTACATTGTTTACTGTTTCATTGCATAGTTGCTGAAAATAGGTATACTAGCCTTCTCTGTCACATCTATTCCTTTCTAATAACATATCATGGTGGGATGAGGCTTACTGTTGTTGTTGTTCCCTGGTAAGATAATGTTGGTGAAGAAAATCCTGCACCTAGCATCCTATCATTCGCATGGATTTAGAAATCCTAAAGCATATGTGAAAAAGTTAGAAAGAGGGATGGCCCTAAAGCACACTTGGGGATCTTATTCCCCTTCAATAATGACTTGTGAGGTTATGCAATTGCCAAGTGCTATTCGATGTCTGTGTTGGCTTCATTTTGTGGAATTTTTTTTTCTTTTCAATTTTCTTAGTTACTATTGTAATGTAATCTGGAACCCATCTGTCTTGTTTCTTACATTCTTTGCAAAGTTATCCCATGAAATATTTTACGCAATTTAACCCATGAAACATTTTGAGTTGGTTATGCAATTGCCAAGTGCTATTTGATGTCTGTGTTGGCTTCATTTTGTGGAATGTTTTTTTTTTTAATTTTCTTAGTTACTATTGTAATGTAATCTGGAGCCCATCTCTCTTGTTTCTTACATTCTTTCCAAAGTTATCCCATGAAATATTTTACGCAGTCTGAATCGCCTTCATACAGACTCTTGACTTGTGAGGGTATGTGATTGCCAAAGTTCTATTTGACATTTGTGTTTGATTAAGTATATTAATTTTGGTTTTTTCACTTCGTTTTCCATTCTGATCCGTAGAAATAAATAATCTAAGATTGTGATTTTTCTTTGTCAAAATATCACCAGAACATACCCGATTCATGCTTTTGTTACACAGTCCATTTAGTATTAACCTGAAGCTAGAAAATCATGTTATAAGAGGCCATGACATGTTCTCTTTTTGCCAGGCCACATTTCTAACCATATTTTTTACATTCATGACTCGAGCACGCAATGTCATGGTTGCTACTGGTTTAGTTGCTTTCGCTGCAGCTGGCTTGGCATTTCCCTTCTACATGGCGTAAGTCAATTGATATTGCAGTGGACTGTTCCGATCTGCATTCTTTTGCATGCACTGAAGTTAACGGTTCAACTGAACTTGAATTGCCCAGGTCGTCAAGGCAGCCTGTTATTGATCCATCAAAGCCGTTACCACCACAAGCAACATTTCGAGGCCCTTACATAAACACTGGTTCGCGTGACGTTGGGCCTGATCATCAAACTTATACAAAGAAATAAAGCAGTTTGTGAATGTTGCATTCTGAGTTAGTAAGTACACTAAACTTGTTTGTGCCTAGCGCTTCTGCAGTTTGATGAAGCCTGGACATGGCTCATTGCTCCACCCAGAACGCGTCTTGAATATGCCCGGGAAAATCACTTTCATGGTTACATATGGTTCTGGAGCGTGTTAGAATCAACCTTATTCTGAAGAAAAATGTTAGAATCAACTAGAAATGTGAAAGTTCCCCTTTGTAAGAGCTGATGAGAGAAAATTTCGACTGCAGCCAAATAATGGGAGTAAAATATAAATTACTGCACAATTCATTGCAATCAGTTTCGTGACTACATATGATGTTGGAGTGCGTTAGAATTCATAATCTTCCCAGGAAGAATGTTGGGATCAAGTAGAATGTGTTTCTTTCTATCTTTTTGGGAGAGCTGAAGAGTTTTTAATTTTGATCGCCTGCGAGTGGGAGTGAAATTTTGAATGGGATATCTATTCATATTCCGATCAATATATTCATACTACGCTTCGAATTCGAAGGCATTTGTGCGAGTTCTATCCATGGAGCTTGTGGCTTTGAGATCTGCTGTCAGTTGAAATTCTGACCGGCATCTTCATCCCAACGAATGAGCCAGTGCTAATAGCCATGCTAGTTTGGAACTGGGTGAAAAAAAGGTTTCAGTTGTTATATGCCTTTTTTTTTTTTTTTGCCCCTTTCTGCCAACGTGTTATATGCCCATTAGTATACATTATTAAAAAAATGAAAGAGACAAGCGAGCAAAATATGATTTTTATGTTTTTATTACAAAAATGAAAATAAAAAAGCCCTTAAATAATTCCAATAAAGGCATAACCAATATATTGATTATCTATTCCATAAAAATGGAGACTTGAATATCGGGCTAGATGCATCAACTTTTTTTTTTGGGGGCTACAGAGATGCATCAACTTGTTATTGTGCTTAGTTTAGTTTGAGGGAAGACAATATATATCATGTTAATTAATAATCTTATTACTACGTCCGGTCCTTAATATAAGACCCCGTTTGACTTTTTGTTTGGTCCTAATTATAAGACCCCAATCCATTTTTTCTCTTATATTTATTTATTTTTTTCAAAATAGTCCTTCTAATAATGATAGTTCTAACCAATACACTTAATTAGCAAGGATATTTTAGGAATGACAACACTTATTTATTACAAATAACTAACTTAATTTACTTCCTTAATCTCCTCAAATAAGTCAACTGGGTCTTATAATTAAGACCGGAGGTAGTATAATGTTAATGTTTCAATGTTGACGTTTGAATATGTGATTGGTTGTTTTAGTAATTTGTTCTTTAAAAAAAAAAAAGTAAACAGTGATAGATTATTATTTAAAATGTGTCTATAATATTCAAGGGGCCTAGGCTGCGCGGTGCTTCTGATTCAACCGCGGGTTTCTCAAAGCTCGTATATTTTCAGAAGGAAGCTAAACGGTGGTGTTTGCTTGAACATGAATATCTAGATAAGATTAAAAAATTAATAATATTTACATTGGCACATTTTTTTGGCTGGCCATTTATGGTGAAACATTTAATCTTTATAATAATATAGGATTAATAATTCAATTAAAAATTTAAACTCTGAAATATTTATATGATTCATGAAGTTTACAATAATTAAATAAAAATTTTGGTCAACAAATAATTAAACATAAATATCTTATTTAACTCTTAATTTTAAATGTAAATTTTTCCATAACGTGATAGCCCACAGGTCATGGGTTAAGTCAATACTATAGCCCACAGGTTGGGGCATTGCGTTAATTGATTGGATTATTGGATGTACAATAGTTGGATAAGTTTCACTTGAACACATAAACACGATACCTGTTTTTTGGCCGAGAGCTTTATGCTATTGCCACCTGGCAGCGAAATCTATAGCCATGTGTGGCATACTTGGCAGCAAAATAATCAACTCTGAATGCTCCTTAAACTTGTGGCCGGCCGAGCCGATTGCCGATTTTCACACTGGAAATGCACATATTTGTCACCATCATTAACAAGTAGCGAACTTTGATTTTGATCAATACTTTCTGACACTTAAAAGAATTGGCCCAATTTCTTCGGTAATTACTCTCTCTCTGTCACCATGTTGTTAACTCTGCGAAGTGTTACTGGTTACCGCGGAAATAAAGCCAAAGCGTGAGGAGAAAACGGATTATAGAATGACAATAGCGATGAACTTCATTTTTGTCTGGAAAGAGCTCCAGACCCACCGCTATATAGGTAGAAACATTTCAGACTTGCACGCAAAGTTCTCAAGAGTTCCTACTTCTCTTGTATTCTCTTGTTCCATCTGAATCTTTTTCTCTCTCACACACACACCATAAATTTTCTGAGCTCTCCTTACAGTGAATTGCTCTTGAACTTCTCTTAAACCTCCGTCCATGGCTCTGTTACACCCTACCTCTGCCTTGGCTGCTATCGACACAGTGTTATCAACGAGAAGCAAAACTCTGAATTTTCCTCTTTATACCTATAGCAATATGCAATCTTTCACCAGAAAACATAGACCGAATGGACCCAGAAACCTGTCTTTACGCGTTGCTACGCCAACAAGCATTGAGCCTGAGCAATCAATTCCAGAAACAGAGAAGGATGAAACTGAGAATGAATTTAGTGACGAGAGCTCCTCTTCAAAGTTTTCTTGGAGGGATCACTGGTACCCAGTTTCTTTAATTGAAGATCTGGACCCTCGATTGCCTACCCCATTTCAGCTTCTCGGTCGCGAGATCGTACTGTGGTATGACAAATCCAAATCCGAATGGGTGGCTTTCGACGACAAATGCCCCCATCGTCTTGCCCCCTTATCAGTAATATACGCTCTCCTCTTTGTCCTTCTTTTACTACCCCTCGTTTAGTTAATTTTAATCTGAATTAATATTTTAGGTTTATAATATCGCTCTCTCAGAGAAGATCATGAAATTAATCGGTTTGATTTTTGTAGGAAGGACGGATTGATGAAGATGGCAACTTACAGTGCTCCTATCATGGCTGGTCCTTTGATGGATGTGGATCTTGTGTTAGGATCCCTCAGGCGTCATCGGAAGGTCCTGAAGCTCGTGCTATTCGATCACCTAGAGCATGTGCCACAAAGTTCCCTACCATGGTGTCTCAGGGTCTCCTCTTTGTGTGGCCGGATGAGAATGGTTGGGAAAAAGCCGGCGCCGCTAAGCCCCCATTGTAATTGATTTAATATTTTATTGCTTTATTGAATTAAATACACATTGAATTGTTTAAGTTCATTAAACTATGCGTGTTTGGACAGTTTGAGATGTTGTCGGTTTTTAACACTGTTAAATAATGAATATTTAATTGATCTGCATGGCGTTATGGTTTTGCTTAGGTTGCCTGATGACTTCGAAAAACCAGAGTTTGCCACCGTGAACATTCAACGCGATCTGTTCTATGGCTATGATACTCTCATGGAGAATGTTTCCGACCCTTCTCACATTGATTTTGCTCATCACAAGGTAAGAACAATGTCTCTGAACCTGAGAACTCGATTTAAAATACTATATTCTTAATTATTAGATATTTTATAGTTCATCACGTTGCCGGTGGAGCATTTCGAGCACAATAAAAGTTACTGTAGACAGTTTTTTTCATTAGATTTTGCTTCGTTCATTGACATATTCTCATGATCAGTAGCACGTAGCATATGAAGAATCTTTGAAGTTAATCTGGAGATGTAAGGAAAAACTTCTCTCCATGTACAACATTTTGATTGATCTCAGCAAAACTTATTCCTCACGCTACGTATGTTCCTTAACGATCCAACTAGTCTCCTGTGACAATTAAATTGTTATAGGTTTTGCTGAATTTGGTTCGGTAGTTACTAAGTGCGTACCAGTTTATGGGATCATTGCTTTTAGTACATGCCTAGGAGCCTTTGGAAACCTTCCGTTATTTATCTCCCAGCCTCGCACACCTGCTCGCTCTGTCTATGCATGGCCCTTGTTGTGGAAATGTTTCATCTCATTGCTTATGAAACATGACCAGCATGCTAGTACATGTAGTGTTAAATTAGGATAGCGCTCAAATATGCAGTTGTGGGAGTTGGATTTATTTTAGTTTGATAACTGTTACATTGCTAGCGCCAAATTAATTACAGGTGACAGGAAGGAGAGATAGGGCAAAGCCTTTGCCATTCAAGTTGGAGGGTAGTGGTCCATGGGGCTTTGCTGGAGCTAACGATGGGAACCCACGAATCAGTTCCAAATTTGTTGCCCCTTGTTATTATATGAACAAGTAAGCCTGAGGATTTAGTATTGGAAGTAAATTTTTCAGGTGTTTCGTTTTATTTTTCCCATGTGCCTTCTTCGTTACTGAGTAAATATGATATGGAAGAATTTTGTACAGTTGAGTTCTGTTAATGTTTCAACGCTCTTTGCGTATCAAGTCATAAGCATCTTGACTCACATTCAAAACAAAAATGAGTATTTAGTATCAATGCATCCTCAATAGGTGAATGAATTCTGTATTTAACTTAATCTAATACAATTCTGGAATTTTTTTTTTTTTTTTGCCTTTTCTTTTTACCTTCTGAAATTTCTTTGTACCTCTAGTATGGGGACAATATGAGGTGGATGAATTCCTAGATTAACTGTCTGCTTCTTCGAATTATGCCTGAATGTGTATTCATGGAGTTGGTAGGCATATAATAGTGCAGTTGAAGGCAGGCGTGACTTGCTGTTTCTTGTTTCATGTGCTATCAAGATGACTTTCAATAAGAATTACTTTGTATGTTGGTATACTGTCATTGTTCTTTTTCCGCACGTCATTGTTTTTACATCTAAACCCACTTGTATTACTTTTGCAGAATAGAGATTAATAACAAGCTTCCAATAGTTGGTGACCAAAGATGGGTAATATGGATATGTTCTTTCAATGTCCCCATGGCACCTGGTAAGACTCGCTCCATTGTTTGCAGTGCCCGAAACTTTTTCCAGTTCACAGTGCCTGGACCTGCATGGTGGCAAGTAAGAAGTCCATGTTCAGGGCTGTCATTTTGTTTTCTTTGATTAAGGCTCCGGAGCTTCTTAACCTGGGCATTTACTTATGCCTTATGAATGTCTCAGGTGGTTCCTAGATGGTATGAACATTGGACCTCAAACAAGGTGTATGATGGAGACATGATTGTTCTTCAAGGCCAAGAAAAAATATTTCTTGCGGAGACCAGTGATGGGTCCGGTGATGTTAACAAGGAGTACACAAAGCTCACCTTCACACCAACACAGGCAGATCGCTTTGTCTTGGCATTTCGAAATTGGCTAAGGCGACATGGAAATAGCCAGCCTGAATGGTTCGGCCTGAGCAGCCAGCAGCCGTTACCATCAACAGTTCTAACAAAACGGCAGGTATGAATACTTGAACGTGCTCTATTTGAAATTGCATCACCTCTTTCCACAAACCAAGAATAAAATCCTTTTGAACAAAACAATTGTTGGTTCCTCTTAAAAGCGCACACAGATGTGCTTCTTATGAATTGATTGGCTCAGTTGCTCCTTGATTTTTACTGTACTACACCCATACCCCCATGTCAAAGTCCAAGATGAAGAAGTCTCTGTTTGGTTTGAGAATCAATCGCATCCTGAATAAAGCATTGTTGTTCTGCAGATGTTGGATAGATTTGAACAGCACACTCTCAAGTGTTCATCATGTAAAGGAGCTTATACAGCATTCCAGACGTTGCAGAAGATTCTGATCGGTGCAACAGTTGTTTTTGGTGCAACGTCGGGGATCCCTTCAGAGACATATCTCCGGATAGTTCTGGCCGGACTTGCAGTCGCTAGCGCTGGCTTGGCCTTTGCCTTAAATGAACTCCAAAAGAATTTTGTATTTGTTGATTACGTGCATGCTGATATTGATTAGAATTTAGACAGTAGACACGCCTCATAGCCCTTGTAGGAATCCTGGCGAACCAAAGCCTTTGCAAATGGCTGGCTGTAAACAAAGTTTAAAGCTCAACAAACAAATGTAAAACTGAGATATATATTCACACTTTTGTGTGTGTATATACAGATGAACACAGCAAAATCTTAATCACCGACATTTTTCTTTTCTTTCTGGCAAAGACTGGAAAGGTTTCAAGTACCCTTGTCAAGGAGCATAGCTATAAATTAAAGTTCCGTGAGGCTGTTATATGAATTTTTTCCACTTGTAAACACATGCGTAGGTGCATAAAGCCTCTCGATGCTAAAGGCGTGATAACGGAACTCAGAACGTTTCATGATAAATAATGCAACCCCTTTTATCTTCCCCATATTGCGGCCCTTTCTTCTATTTTTAAAATATGTCCTCGTCAATTTTTTAAACAAAATCAGTCCATTAAATTAAATACTTCCTGCTGGTCCTTTGTATAATTTATTTTTTAGAAAAATTTTATGGTTCAAATGCTTTGTAAGATTTAGCGGAATATTAATTGTTTTATTTCGAAAATATCTTTATTGTCAATTTTTAGTGAAGAAACAGAAAGAGTATATGCTGTTCAAATTCATGATATTTATAAAGAATAAAGACGAAAGTCAAAGCGAATTATATACAGTGTTAATGAAAATTATTAACTTTTTTATGAAGTACTTAAAAATGATTTATATTAATAATTTATATATACTATCAATATTCATCCGCATAACTTATGATGATAAAAGAGGGAAAATCTAGAGAACCGTGTTGGCGTGCAATTCGGTGTAAATGAAGGGCATCATATACAAATAATACTTGAATATTAATTAACTTTTAATTATCATTTATTTGCTATAAATAGGCTTTAACACTATGTTTGGTACCAGGTTTTCAGAGGGGAGGGAAGAGGAGGGGAGAGGAGGGAAGTTGCTCCCCTCCTCTTGTTTGGCTCGTGCAATTTTTAAGAGGGGAGGAGAAAAACTCTCCTTCTTTTGTTTGGTTAAAATATTTTTTAAAGAGAGAAAGGGCTCTTCTTCCCTCCTTTTCCCTTCTAGCTTCTCTCTAAAATTGGGATTTTTTAGATGAGAGATAAGAGATAATATTTTAATTTCTCATATATCTTTTCGATTTGTTAACCCCTAATTAGTCGTAAACATTTCTACATAAGAGAGTTTTTTTGAACATTTAGCAAGAGGTTGTTGAGATAATTGTCTCCAAAATTAGTGAGCATTTGTAAACCTTTTTTTTCTCTTCTTCTAATTCTAAGAGGCCGTCAGCATTTTCTTTCACCGTCAAGGTTTTTTCTCTTATTGAAATCTATTACTCACGATTTTTTATCTTGATATCCTATAACTGTGTGATTGTGTCTTGCAAATCAATATTGGTGAATTGCATTATATATAGCCTGTAACATACTATTTTTTTTATAAAAAAATTGTAATTAAAAATATATAATAATATATTATTATATAAAAAAAAAGTCATCTTTGCCACCGAATTCGGTGGAAAAGATGGGAGAGGGGGAGTGGTTGCATTAATGAGGAAAGAATTTTGGAAGAAGATTTAATAAAGAACAAAGAAAAACATGGGGTAAGGTTGAAAAACAATGGAAGGGTATTAAATGAAGAAGGAAAAGGGAGGAAGAAGCGGATGGAAGTGGAAAAATTAGGAGGGAGTGATGGAGGGATATAAATGAGAGGGGGTGTTAAACGTCCTCACTAGTTATATTTTCAAGCCAGAAGAAAAGAGATCGAAAGAGAGAAAAAGCGAAAGACAAGAGAAAGAGAGAGAGAGAAGAGAAGAGAAGAAGAGAGCGAGAAGTTGAGTTGCAATACGTGATCAGAAAGTCGGGACAAGTTTTGGGAATCATTTAGGTACACAAGTATACTTCTTTTTATCAAATTTTCTTTATGAATATTTCCTATATATTTATAGCTTTATATTATTATTATCATTATAATGTTTAGAGAAAATTTTACTGTTTGGGTATAGAGTAAATATGGAGTTTTGACAATGTATGATCGTATAAATTTAAAGATACATTATTAAGGAATTTTAATCAGTTTATTTTTTTTAATGATTATTTTGAGAATTTTAAATTAAGATTTTAGTGAAAAAAATTGTTATTTAAAGATATAGAATGTTTTTACCGATTAAATTTGAGTTAAATAAATTATTTGAGTTATTTAATATATTATTGAGGTTTTAATCGGTTTAAATATTGAATAAGTTAAAGGTATATTTTTGGAAATAATTTTTGGAAGTATAAAGAATTGTAAATTGAGAATTTTATAAAAATTAAAATTTATTTATACTTCAAAGGAGTTCCTCAGCTAAGGAAAAATTTTAAATGGGACGATAACAAATAGTTGAGATTTTAATATAAAATATTTATATTGTAAGAAATATATATTTAAGTTATTAAATTTAAATAGTCTTATATGTAAATTATATTTTCAAAATATTATATTTATTATAAATAGCAAAAATTTGGGAGAGTTAATATGTTTATGTATTTTTGGTTTAGAGGGTAGTTTTAGAATTTTAGAGTAGTTTTGGAATAGTTTTGTGTTTTATATTAATAAATATTTATGTGCAATTTTGTAGACTCTTGAGAATTTTGGAGTAATCTTTGTGTGATTATTTGTAAGCTAAAGAGTACCAGGTAACTTTGAAAATTCTTTCTTGTACATGTGAATTGTGTATGATTATATTATGGATTTACTAATTTTTATATCATACTGAAAAGTAGTATTATGATTTCAAATAAATGTTTTGATATGTTATTTGATTTTGTTAAGATTTATTGCTATTAATTATGATCAATATTTAAATATATTGATGGCTAAGGAATTGTCCTGAGTTGTTATTAAATGGTATATGAGTTTTATTGCTATCTTATCTTTAAAATATTTGAGGACGTATTTATGATGTAACATTATCGGCACCTGACATGCATTGTTGGGCTAAGGATAGAAAGAGATTGCATGGATATAAAATTACCACGTGGTATGCCATCACTCGGTGCACAATGGATGGCACTTGTTAGGGCCCCTTCTTCCATGTTTTCCTTTGGCCAGGAATTCATTGGAGCTGTGGGACATGTGACACCTCCCTATTCACAAAGGAGGGGAGCCATAGTCTGAGCTTGAGCTCTATATCTTTGGCCGGATATATCTCTTGTGTCTGTGAGCTTGGAATAATTCAGTAAAATGGATTAGTTCCTATTGGACTATGTGTTAGCCTATGGTTCCAGTCAGCGGTATAAGGGTGGACGGTGATATAAGGGAGGCAGCATATTGCATTATTTTTGGATATATTAGAAAAATAAAATTGAATTGAATGTATCAAATATGTGATTTTTAATATATTTATATACACACATATAAACAGATTTTTGGTTTATCATATATGATTTGCTTTTACAGGTTAGAATTTCAGTAGTTATTGAGACGTTTGATCTCACCCCTATATTAACAATTTTCAGGCGAAGAATCTAGTAAGAATCAAGGGAAGGCACCAATGGAGTGAGCCGTGAAGGCTTTTGTACTTCTCAACACATGCTATGTTATATTTTTATTTGCCATGACTATAAGACTTTAATAGTTTATTTTGTTGTTATGTTAGAAATATTTTGAAATTATGAGTTGTTTGAAGTATTAGAAATATGTATAGACTTTTAAATTAAATATTTTGTTACGTATATTGATATAATTATGTGAGGTATTACATAGTCTTTATAAAATAAAAAAAATGAGAAAATTCATTCAAATTTTATGAGGTTAAAATAGTCAATTTTTTATTAAAACAAAACAGAGTATTATTAAAATTGTTCCCTTCCCTCCCTATCAATCAATCCAAATAGAAGATCATTAAAATCCCTCCTCTCCCTCTCCCTCTCCTCTCCTCCTCTTTCCTCGATAAAAATCTCTTCCATTCACTTTCTTCCGTCGAGCCAAACGCAGTGTAAGGATAGCAGTATATATTAAACTGGGAGAAGAGTGTACTTGAGCCACAGAAGCTCGTGGGGCCTAATTCGTTGACGAAAATTTGCAATCAAGCCTAATCAGTAGCTATTGCGTGAATATTATGTTTGTGGTGTCATTTGTGAATGCATGAATCGTGCACGTTCGTCAGTGACGCATTATGGCCCCACGTTGCACATTAAAGTAATTAATTTCTGCAGGCATGCAAAGTAGGCCCTATCATGCGTCAATTCTGTAGGCATGCCTGCACTTTCCTCAACTCAGTTACTACGATCTAGTTTTCAAGCATATTCCTTAGACCAGGGCGTGCTGGACAAAGAAAAGCCAAATGCCTCTTGGGCTTTTTCTCACAGTAAATACTTACATAGTGTTCAACATCAACACTTGTCAGTTACTAGTCTTTAATTTTCCTAATCAATGATACTAAACTAGTGTTAAATTTACAACTTGCTAACCTTCCCGACCTTCCACCACTGAGGATTAGAAATTCTAAATACTGTGTTTTGGTTGTTTTAATATGGTTGTCGGGGTTAATTAATATGATGTTCTTGGTAGTCAAGTTTAATATTATTTGCTTCTAAATAAATAATCAGCAAAGATGAATAGAATCATAAGCCGTTGAAGTCTTGCCTTGCTGACCTTTGCTCCTTTATAGCTTTCTTCTGTATCCTACAGTTTGCCTAGTTACCAATTAACTCGAAAACCTTTTTTGTTAACTTCGAGCAGGAAAAAAAATGGGTTAAGGTGCGCCCAGCACCCTGAACTATTTACTTAGGTGCGTCCAGTGGCCTAAAGTAATTTTGGATGCATCCAGTGTCCTAAACTAATTAAAATGATGCGTCCATATCCCAGGCTAACAGAAATGTTATGTTTAACTGTTATTTTCCTGACTCAGTCTAAAGTTGACCTCAGATATTCTACATGGTAGACACATGGGCACCCGATGTGTATTATTCTTACTCAAAAGTCAATTTATTTAGAAGAAGAGGAAGGAAATAAATTTAATTTTGCGTAAGAATAATACATATCAAATGTCCATATGTCCGCCATTTAGAATATCTGGGGTCAACTTTAAACTGAGTCAGGAAAGTAACAGTTAAACATAATATTTCTGTTAGTCTGGGATATGGATGCACCATTTTAATTAGTTTAGGACACTGGATGCACCCAAAATTACTTTAGGCCACTGGACGCACCTAGGTAAATAGTTCAGGGTGCTGAGCGCACCTTAGCCCAAAAAAAATAGTTGATTCTAAGCTCTTCGTAATCTTGAAAATGGCAATGTAAGTGCAGGTCTTACAATGACTGTAAACGAAGAATGCAGAGAAAATTACGTGCAATGATAGGGTTGTGCAGGTTGAAGACTATAGCTGAAGAATGCCAAGAAAGGGAGCAATGAAAAGAATTGCTAGAAGGGATTCAACAACAACAATCTGTCGAGACGTGTGTCAGCATGGTCCAACAAATGTAATTTATGTTTATTAGTGGTATATGATCACTTAGTAGAGCATTAGAGCTGATATTTCACTTGATTGTTTCGAGAGTTAAGGACATTCTCTTGTACATGGTCTCAAGCCATTGAAGACTCAACAAACTCATTCCCATTTAAGCTTTCTTCCAATCATATCTTATATTACCGCTGGTCTTTTATATAAGAGTTAGTTGTGAGTAGATTAAGAAAATTAGTTAAGTTAGGTATTTGTAATAAATAAGTGTTATTTTTTTCCCCTAAAATATCCTTGTCAATCAAGTGTATCGGCTAGAACTATCATTACTACAATTAGCATTTTGAGAAAAAAAAATGAATAAATATAAGAGATAAAGTAGACTAGGATTTTATATTTATAATCAAGATAAAAGTCAAACAAGACTAGCCTATTAGGAGGGAGAGCCTCTTAAACTTATAAATCCCATAATATTTGTGAGATTCCTCAATGTGTGACTCATAATAGAGAACTCCCCTCGAGAGCCAACGTCCTCGGTGGCTTTACTTTACAGTGCTTCACTCGGAGAGCCCAATTTCAAAAAACTAACCTATTAGGAGGGAGAACACATTGAACTTATAAACCCCACAAAACTTAGATCTCATTTGGTGTGAAGCAATGAAAATGAGGGATAAGGATTGAAATTAAAATTGAAAAAATCTATTAAAAAAGAGTTTAGAATGGGATATTACTTGATACATGAGATTAGACAAACCCATAAATGTGGGATTGAGAAATACCATTTTGTCTAATCCCATATATCAAGCAATTATTGATGTTAAATACTTTTTATTGATTTTTTTTTGAATTGCAATCCTAATCCCTATCTTTTATTTTTAATACTTTATACCAAACGGGACCTTAAATTCTCCAATGGGGGACTCATAACAGAGTATATTTCAGTTTACCTCTGTAGTTAACTGTTCTTGGGGGGAAAAAAACTGTATTAAAATTACAAGATGCTACAAAGTTCAAATTCCTATCCTGTCTCATGGCTCACGGTTAGATAACTTAAAAGTCGAATCACAAGACAATTTTGAGCTTTCATATATAGAACTGCACGTGGTTAACTGTGTAATATGCAGTTTTTATTTATCCAAAATCCAACACACTAGTATATATCAAACATATGATCTTGCACTACCGCCATCTTCCTGCATTTGCAATGCCTGCTGCTCGACCAATTTTCCAGAATAGGACAAGCCACTGACAGCTGGAGCATGCCCGGCGAACAAAGCAACATGGCCCATGAGCTTGTCTTTCCTTGAAAACGTTGTACCACACGAACACTGCCACTTGAGATCCCCACAGTGCTTCTCATGTGTTCTCAGATCAGACAGCACTGAGAAATGCTTCAAATTGCACCTTTTGCACACGTACATCTTCGGACAATGACTTCTCTTGTAATGATTCTTCACACATATCATTGACTTCAACGGTTGAAACTTGGCATGCTTCTGATTCCACCTACATCCTTCCTGCGGACATGAGTATTTCTTAGGCCTGAACGTGCTCATCGAACATTCTTTGTCTCTATTCTTCATCGGGTTGCTCAAGGCGGCACTTGTCTTGTACTCATCCCCATGAGCTCTCATATGCATCCTCAAATTCGCATCTCGTTTAAACCCTTTCCCACAAATTTGACAGTAATGTGTGTACTTGGCCAGCAAATCAGCAGCATCCAATTCGATTATGTCCTCGTTCTTTGGTTCATCGGTCTCATCCCTTTGAGACAATTCTCTCTTCGTTTCACTAAGCCCAGCACTCGGATCATCATCCTTGAGATTATTAACGCAGTTATTGTTGGTATCATAGCTTTCACCACCGAACCAGTTCAAGGTTTGATCATCAGGACTAGAGAAGATACCTTGCTCTCTGTGCGGAGCTATGTTATTCGTATTATTACTACTGTGCATACTTGTATAATGGCCAAAGTTGGATTCAGTGCAATGGGTACCTGGTGGTGGAGAGAAACTAAGGAACATGTGTTGGCACGTGAGCACCATGGAGGAGGCAGTGACAATGAATTCCTGGATGATAGAATTCATACTGGCTAAGGTTGTACAGGTAGAGTCTGGTAAGGTCTGATCCGAGGAAATAAGAATACCCGCGAGTGTCTGGACATGAGTGAGCCTGTCTTTGAGGAGGGAGAGATTGAACATGAGCGAGGTTGATTGAGAGGGAGCTGATTCAACAGAGGGTGAAACCAGATTAACAGCAGCAGCAGCAGCAGGAAATATATTGTGCAGGCCTTGAGAGAGATCTGGGAAACCAGAAGCTGTGGCCCTTGAAATCATTTTTTGATGATCGATTTCTCACTTGAATTTCAGATGTTTCTGAGGAGATGTGAGCTGTGACTGAATTTGGGTTCTGGAGTACAAAGAGAGGCATGAGAGACGATTCTCCAATATTTATAAGAAAGATTAAAACTATTGGGTAATATAAATAGACACGCAGGGATACAACAATAAGTCAACTATGTGAGCTAACAGGAAATATAATCCTTCCCCAGTTCCAACCTCCCCTGCATGTAACCAAAAGAAAATAATATGAAAAAGAAAATTATTGCTAACTGAAAGGGTTAATTTAAATATGTTGACTGTAGCTTCATTGGACGACCAATCACACGTTGAGTGTTTTAAATTGATTTCGTCTTCTTGTCCACTTCTTCTTCTCTCCTGTTTATAGAGAGTTCATTTTTGCCTTTAAAACTCAATAGTCAGTTCATTGGCAAGGTTTGAAATGTTCAGAAATAAGATGGCGTCATCGTAGCTTGCCCTTCAGAGAAACTCTGGAATTTACAATATGCAATAATAACCCAAACTTATTAAAAAGGCGGCTTGCGCAGCCAGAAAGCACACACGATGGATACAGAGTATGATGGCGGTGCGATAATAATATTCAAAATCTCTTACCACGTAGTATGAGGACTCTTAACTAACATAACTGTAATATATTTATGGAGAGAAAGGAAGCATTTGAGGTGGCCTTTTCGTGGAGCTTGAATATGAGTTTTGCTCAAAGACATGACATAATAAATATTAAGATGAGCATTATTTATTTGTTTTTGATAACAGGTGTGCATGAATACTTTTATTAAAACGTGTAATTTTTTTTGTGAGAGTGAGAGAGAGAGAGAGAGAGAGAGAGAGATGAATTGAGAATAGCATAATTAATGTTATAATCCCTCACCTTCTGTTTGATCGATGTGAAAAGAACACATAGATGAGAACGTCGATTAATACTGAAATGAATTTTATATTAATTAAGGACTGAATTATTGATTATTATATAGTAATTGTGAAGGGCCTCAGCATGCATTCAGATGTCAGCCTCTTGATCGATACCTTTCTCCTAAAAGAGTCCAAATCAATTGCGCCTTCCCATAGGCAGTGCATTTTTCTCCATTCAACGCGTTAAATCAGCGATATCTGGTTTGTTTACCCTTGTTGATTACTGATTGGTTATTTATTTTGACTGGTTTGCTTGTTCTTGTTAAAACTTGCTAATTTAGAATAAATTTTTCATACCGGCTAGCAAATTCAGAATTGCACATCCGGCGTCTCATTAAAATATTAAAACAAGTTTTTTAGACATGAAATATCATAAATATTTGAAAATTACTACCTCTGGTTCTTAATACAAGACCCTGTTTGATTTTTATTTTGATCCTAATTATAAGACCTCAATTCGTTTTGTCTCTCATATTTATATTTTTTTTTCCAAGGTAGCCCTTTTAATAATGGCAGTTCTAACCAATAAACTTAATTAATAAGGATATTTTAGGAAAGACAACACTTATTTATTATAAATAACTAACAACGCTCATTTATTATAAATAACTAACTTATTTTATTTCCTTAATCTGTTCAAATTAGTCAACTAGTTCTTATAATTAGGACCGGAGATAATATATCATCTACATCTTTACTCATATTCCATTAGCCCCAATCTTGTTACGTAGATCATAGGAAAAAAAGACTTCCTTCGTAAAGCAGACTTTGGACGAAGCTTGACCTTTCAATACAATTTTAAAATCATCCTTCACGTGCTCCGTGGCTCTCTATGAATAAAAAATTCCCTTACGACCAAATAACCACTGTGATTTATCAAAACCAACAGCGATTAGAAATAAATTTATAAAACATTGATTTTTTGAATAAATATATGGGCTAAATATAAAGTTAATACTAATACTTTGGGCCAAAACAAACGTAAGCTTTACTTTTAATAATATTTTTAATCCTTTTATCCGAAAAAAACCTCTCGTCCTCTCACTGTTATTAATTCCTTATTAACGAGCTTTATGGGTTTGCCACCAAAAAATAATAATAATAATAAGAATAACAACAAACTTAATGTGAACGACCCACAATGACAATGTCGTTGCCGTCGGTGAGGAGTTGAATAAACGACATGTCGCCATCCGGCTGGGCGCACGGAGGTAAAGATAAGACTAGCGCGAAGAGAGGGAGACACGCGGCAAGTTGAGCTTTGGGTGCAGCGGACTGCAATGGCATCCGTGGTGTCTAATCTCTCGTGGAGTTCTTCGTCTCTGCTGCAGAGCATTGGTGAAAGATTGAATGAAGGCACTAACTTGCCCAACAATAAGAGGGTCTTTGTGGTTTTTGCTCAAAAGAAGACGAAGAAAACTCGAAAGGTAGTGGGGTTATTGTACAGGATAATTTGGACTATCATCTATGTTTTCGAAGTTTTTAATTACCTTATTTGGTTACTTTTGAAACCGTAAGGGGAAAAATAAAAGCTATGTCTTCCATTGAAGTAGGAGAGGAGGGGAACGCAAGCTAGGCAGTCGCTTTTGTTCCTGATTATTGTTAATTCCTGTGTAGCCTAGTCTGAGTTCTTTGACTAATTATTGCACTTAACTTCCCACATTATGATGGGCTGCTGCTGCTGCTTCCATCTTGCTCTTTTACCGTGAGGTCAGATTATCCTGAAGGAAGACATGCCTGATCTTGGAAAGAAAGGGCAACTTCTTGACGTGAGGGCTGGTTTTTTCAGAAATTATCTGCTTCCCATGGGAAAGGCCCAGATTGTCACTCCTTTGCTGCTCAAGTAATGTCTTATCAAACTATGCTTGACCTACAAGTGACCTATTTTAACAACATCATTTATCTTCTTAAGTATTTTACAGCCTCACTTATTCTTGTCAATTTGCCTTTTAAAATATAAAATAAAATTCAGTGGATATAGAACGTTCTCGGATAGTCCCTTGTAATTCCAACAATAGGATCAAGTAGAAATTTTTAGGAAATATAACTATGCTCACTATCTCGCAGACAAGGGAATCTGTCGTAGACAGTTTATGTGCTTAGTACAAGGTATTGTATGTTGCAAATCAATAGGAATCTAGTTTTTGACTCCAATTTAGCCTCTGTTTGCTTTTTACTGAGTTTGTAATTTCCTAGTAATAGACTACGGTCTATCAAATAAAAATACCAACATTTTATCGTCTCTTGCACTCGTCTTGGCTTCCCTCTTTCAGTTTTTTTCCCTTTACCTCTAATTTTGTAACAGTACAGCTAAAGGGGAAAACTGAAACATGGAAGCATGATATTATAAACTATGGCAATAGGTTCTGGAGTGGTACTGTTGTGCAGCCTATCATAAGATTCGTTTCTTACAACAAGGTTCATTGCTAACAATAAGTACATTTGGTCAATATTGACTTATCCAATAGTTACTCTTTTATAATGAAAAACCATGTATTCAGTTTAATCGTACGAGCTGCAACTCTTCAACTGTATTCAGCATGTTGCACACACCAAGTACTTTTCTCAGCTTCACAAATTAAGCCTATGTAAGAATCTTGGTCAATTATTCATAATTCATGAATAGTGAATATTATTACTGACTCTGTATGATGCACAGGGAAACTTGTCTAGTTTATTTATATTACATCAACGCGGCTTTAATGTTACGGTTGAGCTTATGTTTGTTTCCATAAAATAGTGTCGGACATTGGAACTTCTGCAATATACATTCATTGAGACGTGGGATTGTACTTGTGCCCTTTTGCTGAAAATAGCTACATTTCTTGTTTTATGAATAGTTGATACTTCTTAATTAAAAAGTCACAATCCAACCGTTTCTGCTTGACAAGTCTTATAGGCAAGTTATGGTGACTGACTAATTAAATTTCCAGTCAGCCTTATCTGAATGCAACGTATCTTTCATGGTTGGATTTTTCTGTGTAATGAATGATGTAATCAGTGTTTAAAAATGAAGGCAGTAAAGCATTGTCTACAACGGTTTTGGGATAATTTGACCTTGTATGGTCTTATATCTCATTTTAATTAATTTCTCTCCCCAGGGAAATGAAGATGGAGGAGGAAAGAATTGAGGCTGAGAAAAGACGGGTAATTTGTCCTATTCCTCATATTACTATTTAGCAGAACATTTTGTGGTTGTACACTGCAAAGCTTGCTGTTATTGACTTGGAGTAGGAGGTAATCAATGCTATGCTATTAAGTTTTACGTAGAACAGTTTCATCGAGGCTGAAACTGAGTTTCACATGACAGATTGCTAAACATGAAATTTCTTCATCATCATCCTTCCTCTTGTCTTTTTATTTTTGGTCTGATGTTTGAGCAATACGTTTTATTTTCTTTTTAAAGTTTGTACCATGGTTGTTTCTCCAACTTCGTTTTCATAGATGCTAGACTTATCTAAGCTCATTGTTCTCCAGGTAAAAGAAGAGGCACAGCAACTTGCTCTTATTTTTGAAACAGTCGGAGCTTTTAAGGTGAAGCGTAAAGGTGGTAAAGGAAAACAAATTTTTGGAAGGTGAGCTCTGACCAGTTCCATTCTAAGCAGTTAACTTATGCCCTTAAATTCAAATCTACTTTGATTTGATCATGGATTTTTTTTCTTTTTCCATTCTTAGTGTTACAGCTCAAGATCTTGTTGATATAATCAAAGCACAGCTTCAGAGGTACGATAGTCTTCTCAATATATACAACTCCTTTTGAAAATTTTGCACAAATTATCTGAAAACTTTTTTTTTTTTTGGGGGGGGGGGGTTTGGTTTTCAAAACTGAATGTGCCTGTTGTTTTGTTAGCGACTCCATTGCCTTCAAGTGACAGCACTTGAGCAAATATGACTGGCCATATGCTAAACGGTCATCCTCATTCTCGAGATTTATTGTTGAGGGTAGTTGATGATTCTATGTTCCCTACTTCATCTGTCTTGATCTTGTAGTAGATGGCGCTTGAGTATATTTTTCTTTGGTAATATGAATTGATCTTCATGTTTTGTTTTCTGTTTATAATTCATTCCTTTTTCATTTTATGTTGTCAACTCTTCAGGGAGGTGGACAAGAAAATTGTTTCTCTTCCAGAGATCCGGGAAACAGGAGAGTATATTGCAGAGTTAAAGCTACATCCTGAAGTTACAGCTAGAGTTCGGTTGAATGTTTTTGCTAACTAAGCACAGCCTGTTCTGAAATTTCGTCTGCTGGTGCAAGCTTCCTGCTTCAGCCTAAGGTACTAACTATCCGACTTAACACCTCTGAGTGCCACTTATAAGTGATTAACTCTCATGAACATGGTTCCAGTATTGGAATGATTGGTGCATGGAAATGAACAAGTAGTTTGTTTGAGTGGAGGAAATCTCCTCAGCTAGTTCTTATTGTGTTAATTGAGGTTATGTTGAGCTGCAATCCATGCAATGAAAATCGAAATATACGTCGGAGTCCAATAATTTGTTTATTGTGGCGTTTCATGCAGATTCTGATTGATTTGGATGCTCATATTGGAAGGCTACAAATTTGCTGAAACTGACTGATTAAGCTCGTATATTCTAGCAGCGGTTGTTTATTGTTTTTCATGTAAATTTTTTTTGGTGGGTCCTGTGAAACAATTTCATTTTCTAGAGTTTTAAATGAAAAGATGCAATTAAAGATATTGCGAGCACACAGAAGCGAAACGTGACAGAGCAGAGCAGGACATCTTGTCCTAGTCTTGAAATAAATGACGCAAACTTAAGGAGGCAATGACCAAGAGTGAATAAGGCGAAAGTATAAGATTATTGACACATAACAAATGACCAATCTAAATGTCAGATGTAGTTTTCTTAGGTCGGTCACTGGTCTGACTCCGACCAACGCCCGAAAGAAAAGGGAAGGGGGAAGAAGAAAATTTAGAAGGCGGTTTCCAGGTCTTAACGCCCAGTTATTGATTGGTCCCTCCGTACCATTGGGCGTTAAATGACTTGATTCAGCAAAGTTTATTTCTCGTTAAAGTATTCTCTGGAACAATAATGCAAATAGTGTTTACAATTTAGCGTTCAACATGTGATAATCAATTCGTGTGACGATCAACTAATTATTTGGTGCGCATCTTTTGCATAATTAATAGGAACTCAGGTTCATCAACGGATAATAAAATTTAAAAGAAATTATACTGTTTGCGAATGATAATGTTGTTCATCCTTAAGATTTAAGTAAACGTGGCCAGTTTAAACCAACAAATCCATTACTGGCTGAAGCAACAATTTAGTTATACGCTTATCTCTTTTTCCCACTGACCAGCCAAAGGAAGATTCCATGACGGGATATAAATATCCTTTTATTTTCTGCTGAGTTATTTTGGGTGGCTTAAAGCCAGACCCTCTGTACCCGACTACAAAGGACTAGGGTGACAAAACCAAGTTATCCACGGGTGCAAAATTGGATATTATCGGGGGAGAGCATTGTGATTTGCTGATTGGCTTCAGGAGGACAGATCTATCTTGAACAAGCATGGGCAAATGTTACAAATAGCACCACGTTATTGTCAGGTCATGCACCAGTTTAAACAATACTGCCATGTGTTGATGTAATATAATCCAATATGTGGCCTATCCAATATTTGTTAACACCGTATTTGCCATGGAGGAGCCAACCAAACCCAAAGCAGTGAAGTAGATTTTAGGTAGCCATACTTCACAAAAGTAAGAACCACCACTCAAGGGATGAAAATGAGCGACCCACATTAATTGATCCGCCATCGCATACCAAACCCGTAATAGATAAGGTTAGGTTCTGCTTAATTTGGAGCCGAACTCTGCGGATCTATAGAAGGATTAGCAATTCTTTGGTGGGATCGAAATTTGTTCAACACCATTTGCCCAAATAGAAAGGCTGGCCAATGCCTACTTTTGTTTTATGGGTCATAATTCATGAAAAAAACTGATGCAGATGGCTTGCGGATATAAACAGGACAAAGAAGCCACATAGTAAACCAACTCATGCATATCTGAGGCATTTGTCCTTATCAACAAAACGTGACCGGTTTTATCACTACAGACTCCCAAGCAAAAAAATAGGATAACAACTACATGCTCTGTGTTTATTTGCTTGTGTGGTTTCCCTTCATCAGTAATTAAAACTAAAGGCTATTCGTACGGCCCTTCCAGCTGTTGGGTTTGAAAATTACGCCATAGCCTCTAATCTAATCTACTTTGTCTTGTTTCTGGTTAAGTAATATAATCCCTCAATATCTAACTCAAACCTTCTTCTTCCTTTTCCTCAAAAGGATTCTCCCATCTCGGCATCCCATATGCCCTTGTCTCTTCGCTCATCGTTAATGTGGTCTCTTAGGCCATTTGGACCCGACAAAGCTTGTTTTTAAGTTCCCCACCCTGCCTCTTGGTTCTGCCTTCTTTTTGATATATTGATGAATTAAGTGTCATCTATACTGCGGCAAAAAGCCTGATCAATAATTTATAAGTTGTACCTTGTTTTTATCTGGAAGGTCACAAAAATCTTCAATTTGGCATTGGTGCAGAGTCCGATCCTCTGTCATCGATCGGCCAATAACTTTCCTTAATCAATTTAGTTCCTCTGTTGTTAGATGATGTAAATTTAACAGAGTAATTGAGATGGACTGGCCTAACAGAACCCTTTACATGTCGTCGTTAAACAAATGAAATGATTATATCCCGTACCAAAAAGAGTTGCTTTTTTTTTTTTTTAATAAAAACACCGCCAAACTTCATGGACTATTATATTGCGCAAAATACATTAGGTATTTCAGTGCTCTTTTTCATCTTTCAACATTATGCATGGCAAGTTAATCACATAATAATCCATATAAGAATCCCATTAAATCAGGTGGGTAATTCGGTTGAATTTATGTTAATTTGATAAACAACTGAACTAAATTGACTGGGGAGATTATTGGGAATGATAAACTTTAGAAAGTGACGCTTTCAAATGTTAAGAAAAAAATTGTGAACTAACTACCTCCGGTTTTAATTGTAAGACTTAGTTTATAAATTATAAATGAGGTCTTATAATTAAGATAGGAGACGGTACATAAAAAGGAGGAGAAAAAAGAGAAGATGAAAATTTTAAGTACGAGTGTGTACAACATTTTTGAAAAAGCTAAAATTAATTGAACCCAATAATTCTGGAATTTGA